GCTTCCGAACTCATCCTATGAGGCCAGCATCACCCTGATACCAAAAGCAGACAAAGCTATCACACCAAAAAGAAAATTACAGGCCAACATCACTGAACACAGATACAAAAATACTCAACAGAATATTAACAAACCAAATTAAACAATACATCAAAAGGACCATGATCAACTGGGATTTATCACAGTGATACAAGGATGGTTCAACCCCTGCAGATCAATGTGATACACCACATTAACCAATTGAAGAATAAAAACCATATGATGGAAAAAAAAAAAACCATATGATGATCTCAATAGTTGCAGAAGAACGTTGTCAAAGTTCAACATCCTTTTATGGTAAAAACTATCCAGAAAGTGGGTATAGAGAGAATATACCTCAACATAATAAAGGCCAGATAGTTCAAGCCCTTAGCTAACATACTCAATGGTAAAAAGCTGAAGGAATTTCCTCTAAGATCAGGAACAAGACAAGATTGCCTACTTTCACCATTTTTATTCAACATAGTATTGGAAGTCCTAGCAACAGCAATCAGACAAGAAAAACAAATAAGAGGAAGACAAACTAGAAAGGAAGAAGTAAAACTGTCACTGTTTGCAGATGGCATGATACATATAAAATCTTAAAAATGACACCAAAAAACATAAAACTAATCAATGAATTCAGAAAAGCTGCATGATACAAAATTAATTTACAGAAATCTGTTGCATTTCTATACACTAGCAGTGAATCATCAGAAGAGACATTAAGAAACAATCCCAGTTATAATCCTGCCAAAAAGAATAAAATATCTAGGAATGAATCTAACTAAGGAGGTCAAAGACCTGTACTTAGAAAACTGTGAAACACATGAAAGAAATTAAAGATGACACAGATGGAAAGATATACTGTGTTCATGGATTGAAAGAATTAATTTTGTTAAATGACCATACCCAAGCCAATCAACAGATTCAATGCAATCCCTATTAAAATACCAGTGATATTTTTCACAAAACTAGAATGTATAATTCTAAATTTGTACGGAAATAGCTTTTTCCACAGACACGTAGATAAAACAACCTTGAGAGAGAACAAAGCTGGAGTTATCATGCTTCCTGATTTCAAACTTAATTATCAAACCAGTGTGGTACTGGCACAAAAACTGACACATAGATCAATGGAACAGAACAGATAGCCCAGAAATGAACCCACATTATATGGGCAGTTAATCTGTTGACAAAGGATGCAACAATATACAATAAGGAAAAGACAGACTCTTAAATAAATGGTGTTGGGAAAACTGGACAGCTACATACAAAAGAATCAGACTGGACTACCCTCTCACACCATGTACAAAAATAAACTCAAAACAGATTAAAGATGTAAATGTAACAGTTGAAACCATAAAACTTCTGGAAGAAAACATAGGCAGTAAGCTCTCTGACACTGATTTCAGTAATATTTTTTGGTTATGTCCCCTTAGGCAAGACAAACAAAAGCAAAAATAAACAAGTTGGACTGTGCACTGTGCTTAGTTGCTTAGTCATGTCTGACTCTTTGCGACCCCATGAATTGTGGCCCGCCAGACTCCTGGGTCCATGGGGATTCTCCAGGCAAGAATTCTGGAGTGGGTTGCCATGCTACATCAAACTGAAAAGCTTTTGATCAGTAAAAGACACTATCAACAAATGAAAAGACCACCTACTAAATGGGAGAAAATATTTGCAAATGATATACCTGATAAGGGTTTAATATCTAAAATATTGATAAAGAACTTATACAACTCAATATTTAAAAAACAAACAACCTGGACTTTCCTCACAGTCCAGTGGTTATGTCTCCATGCTTTCACTGCAGAGGGTACAGGTTCGATTCCCTGGTTGGGGAACTAGGACCCCACATGTTGCATGATGCAGACCTAAAGAAAAAAAAATTTTTTTTTTATTTAAAAATAAAAAAATAAAGTAAAAAAAGCAAACAACCTGATTTTAAAAATGAGCAGAGGATCTCCACAGACGTTTTTCCAAAGAAGACATGCAGATGGCTGACAGGGACATGAAAGATGCTGAGCATCACTATGCAAAGGTCCCCAGCCTTTTTGGTATCAGGGACTGATTTCATAGGAGACAATTTTCCCACAGACCTGCAGGGAGGGGTCTGAAATGGTATCAGGATGACTCAAGAGCATTATGCTTCTTTACACTTTATTTTTTTTTATTATTATTACCTCAGTTCCACCTCAGATCATTAGGCATTAGATCCCAGAGGTTGGGAACACCTGCATCAGGGAAATGCAAATCAAAAAAACAAGTATCATCTTTCACCTGTTAGAATGGCTGTTATCAGAAAGACAGCAAATAGCGGGATGTGCAGAAAGGGAACCCTCATGCACTCTTGGTGGGAATGTAAATTGGTGCAGTCACTGTGGAAAACAGTATAGAGATTCCCCAAAAAGTTAAAAATAGAACTACTATATGATCCAGAAATTCCACTCCTCCATATTTATCTTCAGAAAATAAAAACACTAATTAGAAAATATATATGAACTCCTATGTTTGTTGTAGTATTGTTTACAATAACCAAGATACAGAAGCAACCTAGGCACCCATCAAAAGATGAATGGATAAAGAACGTTTGGTACATACATACAATGGAATATTACTCAGCCACAAAAAAGAATGGAATCTTGTCATTTGTGACAAAATGGGTCAACCTAGAAGGTATTATGCTAAGAAAAATATATTAGACAATAAAACAAATACTGTACAATGTCACTTATATGTGGAATCTAAAATTCAAAACAAATGAACAAATATAACAAAACAGAAACAGTGCTATATGTACAGAAAACAAACAGGTGGTTGCCAGAGGGCAGCAGGTGGAGGGAAGAAAGAAAAAAGAGAGAGATTAAGATGTATAAACTTTCAGTTACAAAATAAGTGAGTCATGGATATGAAAAAGAAAAAAGATCACAAGGTCATACACACTAGAAAATTTTAAATCATACTAATAAATGATAATAGAATAATATATACCAAAATTTGCATAATGTAATTAAAGCAGTATATAATGGAAATGCATTGCATTAATAAATCTATGATTCTTGAAGTTAGTCCCCAAGCCCACAGACTGACCCAGGAACCTGATGGAAATACAGTTTTCAGTCTCTATCCAAAACCTATTGAATCAGAAATTCTGAGTGGGATCCAGAAGTCTGTATTTTATCAAGACCTCTAGGTAATTCTGATGCACACTCAAGTTTGAAAACCACAACTTTAGATGTACATTTTGAAAAAGAATGGTTAATAGAAATATCCAACTCAAGAATTTAGGGGAAAAGAATATAAAATTAATCCAAAAATTAAAAATAATAAAGTTTCTTTAAAATGCATTTTAATGGCTTTAATTCTACATTAGGACTCTTAAAGAGGCATTATCTTTGCTTCTGGGTTATAACAATCCCAGGCTTCTTCCAGGTTGTCTCTGGTTAGGGAGCCCATCAGGGCAAGGAGGTTGGGCAAAGAAGAAAGTAACATGTGTATATATGACCCTTTCAAGATCTCTCATTCTAGGTATTTATGTATATATGAATACTTTTTTTTTCTGGCTAGAATCATAAGAAAATATTAACAATGCTTTTTTTTGCAGAGAAGGACTTTGGGTAAGAGGCATAGTTATCATTTTTCCCTTTAAAAATATTTTCATTGAGTTTGCAGTTCTAACTTATACAGATATTAGTTTCATTTTTTAAAGCGATAACAAGGTTTATTTGGACTGTGGGATATGGGTAATTTTTATTTCTTTAAAAGAAAAAACTTGGGTAATATTATAGTTTTGTTAACAACAATAACACCCAGCAAAAAAAAATTTCCCAAACCTGGATTCCATCAGAACTTTTTTTGCCTAATATAATTCACAATTTCTTTGTAGGAATAAAGCTCATACCTAATACAACGTGTAAGCAATTTTCTGATAAACTCTAAAGGAACTGAAGACTTGTTCTAAGAAACCCACACACCTGTCAGTCAAAAGTCTAATTACCTCTACCGAAACATAGTTTCCTTTTGTGTCCAACCTAACAATGATTATCTATTTCTATAAAACGTCCCGATCAAGAGTAAATCTTTGAATTGGCTCAGTAGACTCCTCCTTTGCAACAAGATTTGTAATAAATTTTAATAAGCGGTCATAACTAAATCACTTGGAAACGTTTCCTTTCACACCAGTTTAACATGTTTTAAAAACCTTCAAAATCCTGGGGGATGTACACCTTCGTTACCAGTGTTGATGGATGACAGGGCCATAAACACTATAGAAACGTAACTGTAGGAATGTTTATTCATTCGACAAGTATTTGAGTTCATACCCACTCCAGGCTTTGAAAAGCACTCGAGTTCTACCACGTGCCAGGCACTGTTCTAAGCTCTGGGATACAAAAATGAACAAACGGCGTTGAGGGATAAAACTACGGTACCACACGGTATCTCGCGCTTCTGCCTCTTCCCAGGTGGGCGCCTCTAACCACGGGTCTCTTCCCACGATTCTAGCTGTGCACAAAAGCTCCGCCCGCTCATCTGCCATTTCTCCAAGCTCTTAGGAGACGAACGGACTACAACTCCCACAATGCCATCCCGGGGCGGGCTCCTTGTAAGGGTTCCACCTTTTTCCTGGCCTTGCGGAGGACGACTACAACTCCCAGAGTGCTCTGCTTCCTCTTTGGAATGTTATTGCCCCTTTCACGGTGCAGGACGCAGTAGAAGCGGGCAAGAGTGACAGGTCCGATGTTTTCTGTGTCCTTCCCCGGGGCAGGGACGAGGCGGTGACTTGACTCTTGGGCGCAGAGCCCGGGAGGGAGCGCAGGAGACGCTGTCCCTTCTGCCCGCCTCACCTCGCGCTACTCTTCGTCTTCTCCACCCGCGGCCACCTGAACTCCTGCTCAAGACCGACCGCCCCAGGCAGGGTGGTGGCTTTGCCGCGCCCCCGCCCCCGGGCCGTGGTGAGGCCGCTGCCCTCGGGGCGGCAGTAGCGGCGTCAGCTCTGGGGAGGCGAAGGAGGGAAGATGGCGTCGGAGCTGGAGCCTGAGGTGCAGGCCCTCGACCGGAGTTTGCTGGAATGTTCAGCTGAGGAGACCGCGGGGGTGAGTGCCTGGACCGGGGCTCTGATGTCCGGTCGTGGCAGGCCGCGCCCCGGGGGAGGAACCTTCTCCTGGGAATCCCCGGGCGGCGGGCCCTGACTTGGGGTGACGACCCCGCGCGCGGCGCCTCCCCGTGTAGGTAATGGCACGGGGAGGCCCCAGATCCTGCCCCTCTCCTTCCCTCTTTATCCACAAGTAGCCGGCAGCGCCGCTGGGTGCACCAGCCACCCTCGCTTTCCCTTTTGCTCTTCCATTATTCCTCCTTTTCCCCACACTCCCAGTTAAGTCTCGCAGCACAGGGCCTTTGCCCTCTTTGCCAACTCTGCTTCCTGGTTTTTTTGGGTACTTTGTTTTCCTGATTCCTTTTCCGGAGATAAGCGGAGCCTTGCCTCCTCGTTTGAAATCTGCCGCCTTTACTTTGTTTCTGGGGCCGGCGGATGCCAAGGACACTGTCCTCCGTCTTTTCCCCTCCTTTTCAGTGCGTTTTTGCCCTGGTTTGGTCAGTCGACGTTAGTGAATGTGCGAAGAGTTACTGTCTTGACAGGTTTATGGAGTGTGAGAAAGTGGTCGCGGAGACTGGGAGATTAAAACAATAATTCGTCTAGGAGTTGGGGGTAGTTGGACGGAGAACAAACGTTATATAACTTTGAGAGAGCGGCTGTCAGTAAATGGAAGCTAATAATGTGGCCACAGCGTGGTGAGAGCAGTTAATGCCCCAAACTTAAAGCATTCAAAGCCAGTCTTGTACTGAACCTATAATATGAATATGCTCATATAAGTAACAGAGTTATAAAACAATTAATAAAACTCGATGGTATCTTTCCTCCAGAAGGACAGGGAACACCCATTAGAACAGATTGCCCAGAATGATTATAAATGGACCAACACAGCTTAGGCCCCACCTTTAAGGCCTCCGATTTAAAAACTGGTAGGAAGGAAGTGACCTTTGAGCACAAGTCAACAATCTGAATGTTAGGAACAAAGTTGTAGTGGGGCACTTTGAGCCTGTTGGTTAGTGAGGAGTTATTTCGGGCGAATTGATGAGGACACTACAGTCATACGGGAAGAAAATGTTAGGAGTAGAGGTGAAAAGTTTCAAGAAACACATTGACTGATGCATCTTTGTTCTTAAACTAACTTGTTTAGTTCCATTTTCATTTACTTTCTGCTTAATATTTCAACAACCCAAGGATTTACCCCATCTGCCTTTCATTTATCGAGAGATTTGAAAAGAAAATGAAAGCTATGTTCGAAGTAAATAGTAAAATGATAATAGCTGTTCCCTACTACATCATCCTGTCAGTATCCATGTTGATATCTGACCTTTTATTTACCTGACTTTTTTTTTACTTCTGCCATATTTTGCCTGTAACCCAGTGGTACAGGCTATGTACTCTTATTTTCCCAGTTCTAAAAGTGCAAGCTGCTATACACCTGAAACTAACACAACATTGGTAATCAACTATACTCCAATGTGAAATAAAATTTTAAATAAAAGTGCAAGCTATCAAGTGAGAGCTTCTCAAATTTGTTGAGATTTCCTGAGTAAACAGTTATAAAACCAATGCTAGAGACCAGTGCTCCTATTCCTTGTGTAGTGAAATTCTCAGTCAGATGTAGTGGGGGAAATTAAGGGAAATGTAATCAAAATTTAGTACTCTGGACTTGGAGTTTGTAAAGATCAGAGTCTGAGCTACATTTTAGTTTTGCTCTGTTTCCTTTTAAATGGATTTCTGAATAAGATGGGAAAAAATTTAGGTCTGAAGGCCAATAAAATTTCTTAAAGAAGATTCAGGCTAGTATTAAAATACAGGATTCTTCAAGTAGTATAATTTGCCCTTACTTTGTGAGGCATTTATTGTCTGTATTTGGTTAAAACAGCATAACGCTTTAGTATTCTTCCAGCTTCGGCTCCAGCCCAGCCTTTATCACAAATTAAAATGAATAAAGTTTTCTCAGGTTAAAATAAACTTGAGAGAATAAACAAGTAAAGCAGTTATTGCAGCCTTTAGACCTCTGTAACTAGTAATTGGTTGGGATCACATCCGTCTAAAATTACTTAATAAGCACTGGTGTCATCTTTCCCACACTGTATTTACACACTGGCTTTTCTTATTTGTATGAGGAGGAAGGACTTTTTGTGATCCCATCTATTCTTTACTAGAATGCCTCACAAAAGTATTTAAGTACTCCAGTACTTTTAAGTTTAGGATAGTAAACTGACTGGCCCAATGTTCTAGTGTTCTCTTTCCTTTGGTAGAGTTGATCCTGCAAGTATGTTCAGTTCAGTTCAGTTGCTCAATCGTGTCCGACTCTTTGCGACCCTGTGGACTGCAGCATGCCAGGCTTCCCTGTCCATCACCAACTCCCGGTTGTGCAAGTACAACTCCCCTGACACTTCTTGAGTCTATCTACATCTTATGCTCCACAGATTCAATTATATGTTTCAGTGGATGATTATGATTTAAAAAGTGGATATATTGTTTCTCCCCAAGTCTGAAAGAACTATGTATTCCTTACAGAAGTTTTATATAGAGTATTATATCTATATTGGTTAATTTTTACCTTAAAATTTTCAGTAGTTTTATATGTTGCAATATAATTCACATATCTTACAGTTCAGTTCAGTGGTTTTTAGTATATGCAGTTGTACAGCCATCACCACGATCAGTTTTAGAACATTTTTATCACCCTTCCAAAAGAAATCCTACATCCATTATCTGTACACTCCTTCTAACCTCCCAGACTCTAGGCCACTGCTAACCTGTTTCTTTGTTTCCATAGATTTGTCTATTCTGGAAATTTCATATAAATGGAGTTATGTAACTTCTTGTCTTTTGTGACTGCTTTCTTTCCCTTAGCATAAGTATTCAAGTTTTGTCCTTATTGTAGCATATATCCTCAATACTTCATTCCTTTTTACTGCCAAATGATAGTCCATTATGTGGATATACCATATTTTATTTATCCATTCGTCAGTTGATGGCTATTTGGGTTGTTTCAACTTTTGGGAGATTATAAATTGTGCTACTGTGAACATTTGTGTACAGTTTTTTTGTGGGAATATATGTTTTCATTTCTCTTGGGCATACACCCAGGCTTGGAATTGCTGGGTCAGGAATTGCTAGGCCGAAATGACTGCATCGTTTTACCTTCCTATCAGCAGATGTGAAGTTTTCAGTGGGTTTCACATCCTTGCCAACACTTGTTAATTGTCTCTTTTTTCAATTATAGCCATTCTTTTGAGTGTAAAGTTGGAGCTCTTTATAGTTTTGATTTGTATTTCCCTTGTGACTCATGATGTTGAACATCTTTTCATAAGCTTTTTGGGTTTTTTTTTTTTAAGTGTCAATTTGGGTCTTTTGCCTATTTTTAAGTTACATTTTTTTCTAGTTCTAATTTTTTCTTAATATAGTCCCGAAAGCTTCATTTCAGCATTAGTGATTGTTGCTTTAAATTGTTTTTTTATAGTTAACTTACATGTTGATTATCCTTGTTCAAAAGCAAAACCAAATGTGGTTAAAGAATGCAGTTTTAATTTGGCAAAGAATTATAATTAGATACTGTGATACAAGCTTCCCTTGTGGCTCAGCTGGTAAAGAATCCGCCTGCAATGTGGGAAACCTGGGTTCAGTCCTTGGGTTGGGAAGATCCCCTGGAGAAGGGAAAGGCTACTCACCCGAGCCGGGCCAGTACAGACTGGCCCGCTGTACAGTCCATGGAGTCCCAAAGAGTCAGACATGACTGAGCAACTTTTACTTTTCACTGTGATGAAAGAACTAACCCCACGGGATTCTTTGATTTTTGTGTTTATTATACTTGCTGTCCATCCCAAGGCTGAAAATTAGCTTTCAAACTAGGAGAGAGCCTAGAAACATTGTCATAACATGTTTACTATAGTGGAATGAGTTGACAGTTTCCCCACTTCCCTTATGGAGGACTTCTAATAAGGTAGTGCTTATTACTGTGATGTGCACATTACATGACAGCCACAAGTGTCTGAAATAAGGACAGATTAACATGCAACCAAATTGGGAATCTGGTAATTTTTCCTTTTGAAGAAATAGTTACAATTAGCTTATGTTACTGAGAGCTAATATGAAAAGCTATAGGTTTTTTCTTTTGAGAAATATGTAAACAATTATTCTGAAATGCAGCCAGAAATTTTCTCCACCTGCTCATTTTCTCTTCACAGCTTTCCTTTTCTAATCTATACTGTTGCTGGTCACTAATTCTATGTCTCCGGTATATAATTCCCATGTAAAGGTACTTTGCTTTGTTTATTAGTGTTTTAAATAAGGTGACTGATTTTTTTTTTTTTTTTCTCTTAACCAGAAGCTGATATTAGTTTCTGAATTTTTTGTTTGAGAAATCTGAACATATTTGGCCCATGAGTGTTGTTGGAGCCACAAGACAACATAATTTCTTTTACAAAGCACCATCCTTTATCCTCCCTGGATCAAAATTCTGCAAAAGTAAACTTTTAAGAGAAATGGCAACATAAAATATAAAACAAAAAATTGGTGTTAAACAAAACCTTTAAATATGTTGTAAGTTAAAATTGAAGCATAGTTTTCTAGGATCCAGGGGGTGGATTCTTGAATCTTAATGATTGTCTCTCTCAAAGTACTGTTTCAAGAGTAATTTAGTCTCTTTCCTACTTGATAAAAAGAAACAGAGCAAAATTAGTTACATTTGGAAAGGATTGTTTCACTTCAGGGGTAAAGACTTTTTCTGCTGTTTTCAATTATAAACTTCTATCCAGCCCTTAACTTATGAACAAGAATTTTGCATGTTTCGGAAGAGTTCTCTAAAGTGTGAAATTAACTTGAAAGTTAGTATATACCACCTCATGAATATTTAAAATCTCTCTGTAGAGTTATTTTTCAAAAAAAAAGAAGTGGACTGAAGATTATGCAAGTAATAGTTAAAAAGACCTTATACTCTTTTTTTTAATGTTTTATTTTATATTGGAGTATAGTCATTAGACGACCTTATACTCTTGTCTTATGGTGTTAGACATCACTTGAATGCACTGTGTTAACAAGGATGTAATTTGAGACTTAAACGTTGTAATCTATAGGTAAACATGAGACCTATGAGTTAACAGTTAACTGCATTTTTGTAGAAGTGAGTTGTTCCATGTTTTCTGATTTCAAATTTTTACTTGGTTTAGAGCCAGAAAAAGTTGGTTGTAATTAAAGCAAGGAAATATGGAGGACAAATAAACATAGATGGAATTGGTATGAAAGGCAGGAATAAATAAATGACAATGGTATGAGGAAAAATCTTAAGACTTAAGGAAATAGAAAGAGAAAAGAATGGAGGTAGTTTGATGGATGCCTTATTATAGGCCTTATTTGGTTTGGTTTTTAGAGCCTGCACCTGGATTGGCTTTATTTCTGCTTCCATAAAAGCCACATGGAGCATCTTCCTGTGATATCAACGTTAAGTGACAGTCAGTAGTACAGATATGTTTATAGGCATTAGGTTAACGGATTTTACTAAATGCCCACTGGAGCTTGGTTCTGGTTTAGAACTGGGGGTGAGGGGTTAGAGGAACAGGAGACTAGGGTAAGGAATGGGCTGAGGAGGCATCTTAGAGAAAGTGAAACATAAACTGAGATCTGAAGAATCAGTAGAAAATAGCCCTGGGAAGCAGAGAGAGGAGCAGTACCACTCAGGAGGAGGAGACTAGGAAGTATAATACAAGACAGAGGGCTTTGTAAACCATGTCAGTGGACTTGACTTGATCCTGAATAGAAGGGGAAACAGTGACATGATCAGATTGGCATTTTGCAAGAAACACTCAATTTTGTGAGATTGGAAAAATGAACTGTAGAGGGGTCAAACTAGTGGGGATTACCAGTTAGAATATGGTTGCACTAGTCTGATGGCTCTGGGCAGTTTGGGGGCAGTGCCAGTAGAGATGGAGAGAAAGAAATGGATGGATTCAGCAGATGTTGAGGAGCCCTAATAGACAAGACATGATGATTACTTGAATGTTGGGGTAAGGAAGAAAGATTTCTGTTTTTTTTCTGGTTTGACTACCTGGTAGATGCTGGTGTTTAAAACAGGGAAATGCAAAAAATCAAAAAAAATAAAATAAAATAAAACAGGGAAATGGAGAAAATAGCAGGGGGTTTTGTGTTGTGGGAGATCATGAGTTCAATTTTGGACATACTGAGTTGGTATCTGAAAGGAAAAACTGTTCTGTTTCTCTTTACATTCACACTAACACTTCCAGCCACCAAGTGTAGGGGGGTGGTTTTCCCACATCAAACAGTTCTCTCCTCAGCAGACACCGATTGGTTGCCCCACAAGTTGGTCAATTCTGACACTATACACCTGGAGTTAGCGTCAGATCCTAAAGATTAAGGGCTCAGTCCCACAAAGCTGCCCCCAGTACTACTTCAGATGCCACTCACAAGCAGGGGGTCCTCAGGTTACCCACAATTTATGTTGCAAATGAGGGGGGTTCCTGTGACCCCCTCTTTGGGTTCAATAATTTGCTCAGTGGCTGACAGAACTCAAGGAAGCAGTTTATTTACTAGGTTACTTGTTTATTATAAAATGATACAACTCAGGAATAACCAAATGAAATAGAGGAAGGTGTGTGGAGCTTCCATGCCCTCTCTGGGCACGTTAGCACCTCTGCCTGTTCACCAAGCAAGGAGGTATCTGAACCTCGACATTTTGGAATTTTTATGGAGGCTTCATGCCTCCGTAGGCATGATGATCAAACCATTGGTCATTTTTAGTGATTAACTTCACCTCCAGCACCTCTCCCTTCCCTGAAGTTGGTTGGGATGGAGGCTGTAAGTTCCCACCTATTAATCATGTTCCCCTGGCAACCAGCTCCCCATCCTTAGGGGCTTTCCAAATTCACCTCAGTAACTGCAACTCGTGTCTGATTGAAAGGGGTTTGCTCTGAATAACAAAAGACACTCCTTTTATCTTTATCTCACTTACACTTAGGAAACTTCAAGAGTTTTAGGAGCTCTGTGCTAGGAATGAGAACACCAAAAGTGTATTTCTTATTGTAAATTACAATATCTCAGTATCTGTTAGATATCTAAGTAGAATTACCACAGGTAGTAGGACATGAAAGTTTGGGTACGGGAAACGGTGGCTTTTTAAGATGTTTTTAGCGTGGAGAGTGAAGGAGAAAGGGTTTAAGCAGAGGTCAGTGGGGGGGGGGAGAGCATAATCATTAAAACAAAGTCTCTTGTGGCATGTAATTTATTAATCATTGAGAAATAGAATTAGTACATTGGTTGTTCATGTTTACTGTATGCTCTTCCTATCAGCAAACTGAAAAGAGAATCCAGATCACAATTAGAGTATCATTTGAGCAAAACAGTTGAAATTAGAAAGGAAGTCAGATAGGCTCAATGGCTAGCGTCTTTGAGATGATTTATTGTGGTTATTTTCCTGGACTGCTTATAGGAGGTTGCTTCAGCAGTCATTTTGAGCAGATGGGCTCATTTCACTGTTGATTTTGCTTTCACTTTAAGTAGAATTCTAAGATACTGGCTATTGTAGTTAAGTTCTAAATGTTTTACCCTTTTTGAAAAGGCATACAGTGATGAATGTTGTCAATAAAACAGTTTATAAGATTCTTTTGTCATTATTTTTTTCTCTAGGAGAAAATAGAGTAGATTTATTAAAATTTGCAATTTATTGACTGTTTAAAAGTATTTTTTCTTTTTTTTAAGAAATGGCTGCAAGCAACTGACCTTACTAAAGAAGTATACCAGCATTTGGCCCACTATGTACCCAAAATCTACTGCAGGGGTCCCAACCCTTTTCCGCAGAAAGAAGACACATTGGCACACCAAGTTTTGTTGGGACCAATGGAATGGTACCTTTGTGGTGAAGATCCTGAGTTGGGATTTTCCAAACTTGAACAAACAAACAAACCTTCTCATCTTTGTGGTCGTGTTTTTAAAGTGGGAGAACCTACATACTCTTGCAGGTAAGATATTGCCGTTTTCTTTCTTGTCTTGTTTTTACGTGACTTATTTTTTTCTTGAAACCTTTCATTTTAATTTTTAAATTATGAAATATTATGTATGTATGTGTGTGTGTAAGTCTGTACAACAAATATGTATGGTTTAATAACTTATTATAAACAAACATTATTTTCCAGGTCAAGAAATAGAGCATCACCAGGATTTCAGAAACCCATAGTGTTCTTTCTTCCTCCCCCATAGTTAACCCCTGCCTTGACTCTTGTACTGATCACTTTCTTGCTTTTCTTGATAGAGTGATTCTTTTTGATGTTTGTATCACCCCATGTTTGGCCTTTGAGTGCCCCGTCACACTAGCTTCTTGGTCCTTTTCACATGCCTTTTGTAGTCTTTGGGTGCTTCTTGCTTTCTGACACAAGATGTCCACACCTCACTTTGTACTTACTCTGACCCATATGTGCAATCAGCCACTTATGCAGGGAGTTTCCTTTTAGTTGGGAATGTTAGAAACCATGGTCTGGGTGCTATATGTACTTACTGCTACTAGGTTGACTTTAAATTTCTTTGTTGAGAATTGCGTGTACAAGGGTAGAAGATGGAGAGGAAAGTGCTCTGTTTCCCTGTAGGACTATCTTCTATTTCTCAGAACTAATCATTGTTGACAAACTCTTATGTATCCTTCCAGAAATTTTCTGTGCATATACATGCCCATATATGGGGCTATCTTAAACATATATATATGCAGACATACATAGAAAAGGGACTATGTTAGATATACTGGGCTAAGTTTTCCTTTCTCTACAAAATCTTGCCATTGACATCTGTCCATATCGGCTCATATAGCTAGATAATATTCCATTGTGTGGATACAGTATTGATTGTATAATATTTTTTTCTTTAAAACTTTTTCCCATACAACTTAATTTTGGTTACAACTTCTGGGTGTCTGTGGCAATCTTTCTTTATAGTTAGAATACCAATTGAGAGCTTTTTATATATTGAAGGACTATTAGATCTAGTGTTTTGTCTATACAGAAACCTAAGTCCTTTATTGGTATTTGGAGCAGTAGATCTAGTTTAATCTCATGATTTACAGATGAAGAAACTGAGATCCAATTGTTGCAATAACATCCTTTGTATCAAAAATATCCAGTTCCAAAACATGCATTTGTACGTCACGTCTTTCAGTCTTCAGTTTGGAATGTTGCATTGGTTTTTCTTTGATTTTCATGATCTGGACACTTGACAAGTACAGGCCATTTATTTTGTAAATGCCTGTCAGTTTGGGTTTGTCTGTACACTTCATGGTTAGAGTCAGGTTGTCTCTTTCACAGAAATATTACAGAAATCACTTGTTTTCAGTGTTCCAGTAGTATATGATTTTGGTTTGGTTCAATAGCTCTTTAACTTTGATCTCTTGATAAGGGGATTTCTGCAAGGCTTCTCTACTGTGGAGTTACCCTTTTTCCCTCTCTAATCAGTAAGTATTTGGTGGTGAGATACTTTGAGACTATTAAATATCCTGTTTCTTATCAAATGTTCAGTTTTTATTTGTGTCAGTATGTGTTCATGGAGTCCCATTATTCTGGTGGTCAGAATTGTCCTAGATTTGACCAGTGGGAGGCCCTTCAAGCGGTTTCCCTGGTGGCTCAGATGGTAAAGAATCTGCCTGCAATGTGGGAGACCTGGATTCGATCCCTAGGTTGGGAAGATCCCCTGGAGAAGGGAAAGGCTCCCCACTCCAGTATTCTTGCCTGGAGAATCCCTGTGGACACAGGAGCCTGACGGGCTACAGTCCGTGGGGTCACAGAGAGTCAGGCACAACTGAGTGACTAAGCACGCACATACAGGCCCTTCAAGCTGTCTTTGTTCTTTTTTATGTCCCCATCGATCTTTGAGTACTTCCTTTTTCTGACAAAAGATGTTTTGGACACATCTTGGACTTTTCCCTGCCTCAGTTCTGAAATCAACCATTTCTCTAAGGAGCCTGTTCCTTTTTAGTAGAGGTCAGTGTTCAGAAATAAAATACCAAGTCAACTTGTTGCCATTGGTATATCACTAATCCCAAACCCTGTCAATGGATCTGTGTATCTGTATGTAGGTCTCTCTAGTTCCAATCCAGCACCACAGGATTCTTTCTTGATTTCTTCCTTTGCTTATTTTCTCTCTTCTCTAATGATGCCACGTGTCTCTGTGTATGGGGCCATCCCGGGGGAGAACAGGTTGGATGCTGGTTTGAATGCTTTGTAGGGAGGGCTTGATTAAGTTGACAGTTCTGAGAGCTTCCATGACTAAAAGAAAAGGAAGTAGAAAGAATCTTGTTTTCAGCAGTGATCATGGAATCGGCTTTTGGGGGTTTGGAGGAGTGGAGGTGGGATGACAAGAGGAGGAATGTATTTATTCCCTCAGTGAAAGTGGTGCACTGAAAAGCTGTCTGCCTGTATTTGAAGATTAAATGTGCCTGTAGGGTTTGTGGGTGAAACCAAGTCAGGGATGATCTCAGAAGAGTTTTCCTGTATGTGTGTGGTGGAGGCTGGAGTTTCTTTGAGATATGAAATCATTAGAGTGTGGAGGTATAGGTTAATCCATTCATACCTATCCTGAGTATTCTAACTGTATATTTAGAGGATGTATAGAATCAATGAAAAGGAAGGTTCCTTGGGTAAGAATTTTCATGTTCATGACATCATCTAAAAGGTCACAAAAGTGAAAGTGAAAGCCTCTCAGTTGTGTCCGACTATTTGCAACCCCATGGAATTGCCCAGGCCAGAATACTGGAGTGGTTAGCCTTTCTCTTCTCCAGGGGATCTTCCCAACCCAGGGATCGAATCCAGGTCTCCCGCATTGCAGGCGGATTCTCTACCAGCTGAAATGCAAGGGAAGCCCCAGAATACTGGAGTGGGTAGCCTATCCCTTCTCTAGCAGATCTTCTCGACCTAGGAATCAAACTGGGGTCTCCTGCATTGCAGGTGAATTCTTAACCAACTGAGCTATCAGGGACATTTATTCCCTGAATGATTGAAGAAAGAAAGCAGTATGCAGTAACCTGCACTTGGACAGACAGGTAGCCTGAAATGGGGGAGAGGGATATAATTATGATGGCCCCCCTAGGACTCAAGTTTGAACCAGACTCTTAGAGGATATTTCTAAACTTTGTTGTTAACTTAAAGTTGGCCGACTCCAGGTTAAGGGCCCAGACTTCTACAAGATTGTATAAAATACAGCTGAAAGTTGGGGACCTCTTGAGCCACACTCAATTCTGATCTGCTGGTTACAAATTTCAGGCATCTCCATAGATTAACTTAGGTTGGATAATTCACTGAACAACTCACGGAACTCAGGGAAATGCTGTAGTTATGATTAAAGTTTTATGATAGCAAAAACACACAAATCTAAACCAGTCAAAAGGCAGGATTTCCAAGTGCAATGTTTTCTTGTTCTCAGGGACATATTATTATCTTCCCAACACATTTACTGCATGACAACAAAGTATTGCCAACCAGGGAACCTCACCCAAGCTTAGGTGTCCAGAGTTTTTATTGGGATTTCTTATATTGAATAATGATTAATTGAATCATTGTCCACATAATTCAGTTTCCAATTCCACTACCCATCCCAGTGGCATAGCTGTGCCTGAAAGCCCCAGCCCTCTAATCACTTGGTTGGTTTTCTGGTATGGCCAACCTCCAGTCTGAGTTACTTAATTCTGCCGGCACTCAGTGACAACCTAGAGGGGTCGCATGGGGACGGAGGTGGTAGGGAGGTTCAAGAGGGAGGAGACATGTATGCCCTTGGCTGATTCTTGTTGATGTATGGCAGAAACCATCACATTATTGTAAAGTAGTTCAGTTCAGTCACTCAGTCATGTCCAACTCTTTGCGTCCCCATGGACTTCAGCACACCAGGCTTCCCTGTCCATCACCAAGTCCCAGAGCTTGCTCAAACTCATGCCCATTGAATCAGTGATACCATAGAACCATCTTATCCTCTGTTGACCCCTTCTCCTCCTGCCTTCAATCTTGCCCAGTATCAGGGTCTTCTTCAGTGAGTCTGTTCTTCACATCAGGTAGCCAAAGTATTGGAGTTTCAGCTTCAGCATCAGTCCTTCCATTCTGAATATTCAGGACTGATTTCCTATAAGATTGACTGGTTTGATCACCTCACAGTCCGAGGGACTCTCAAGAGTCTTCTCCAAACCACAATTCAAAAGCATCAATTCTTTGGTGCTCAGCTTTCTTTATGGTCCAATTCTCACATCTATACATGACTACTGGAAAAACTATTGCTTTGACTAGAGGGACCTTTGTTGGCAAAGTAATGTCTCTGCTTTTTAATATGTTGTGTAGATTGGTCATAGCTTTTCTTCCAAGGAGCAAGCATCTTTTAATTTCATGGCTGCAGTCACCATCTGCAGTGATTTTGGAGCCCCCAAAAATAAAGTCTGTCACTGTTTCCATTGTTTCCCCATCTGTTTGCCATCAAGTGATGGGACCAGATGCCATGATCTTAGTTTTCTGAATGTTGAATTTTAAGCCAACTTTTTCACTCTCTTCTTTCACTTTCATCAAGAGGTTCTTTAGTTCCTCTTTGCTTTCTGCCATGAGGGTGTTATCATCCTCATATCTGAGGTTATTGATATTTCTCCCAGCAATCTTAATTCNCAGCAATCTTGATTCCAGCTTGTGCTTCATCCAGTCCAGCATTTTGCATGATGTACTCTGCATATAAGTTAAATAAGCAGGGTGACAGTATACTCCTTTCCCGATTTGGAACCAGTCTATTGTTCCATGTCCAGTTCTAACTGTTGCTTCTTGACCAAGAGTTGTGGAGAGGATAAACACATCCCTTTTTTTTTTTCTGCACCTGAGAGCAAATGTAGGATAGATGAGCCTCCATAAGGATGCAGAAATGGCGTTTGCTAAAATTGTATGTGGGAGAGAGCATTGTCTGCACGTGCACATACATGAGTGTGTGTAAGCATTAGAAACAGCCTTCTGGAAGCCTAGAATATAAT